TACGGTCTGAATTGGTCTGTAATAAGGTAGGGCACTGATAAGGGTTTGACAGGTATGGTCTCAAACCTTGCCCAATTCAAGGAACGTATAACACGTAGCCTTTCGAGACCAATATCATCCATAATACAGGTTTCTTTGGGGGGTTAAATCGCGTAATATATAAATGTGTCATTTGACCCGCCACCACCCGACACAGCAAATTAGTGAGGTTTGTCACGTAAACGGAACATGCCAATTGGTTACTCGTACAGCAAACCGGTGTGTTGGAGAGCAAAGGCACAACATTTACAATCTGAGAACGGGAGGACTTCTCCACGAATCTGGCTGCCGCCTGATGAAGCTGGTTGTAATTTCTGGCAAAACGTCGTTCTCAGATTGTAAATGCTGTGGCTTGTCTCTCCAACACACCGGTGTGCTGTACTAGTAACGAACTGGCACATTCTGGTTACGTGACACTTACTTATCGGCTGTGTCGGGTAGTGCCAGGTTTAACGACGCGATCTAACCCAAGAAAAAAACCTGTATTATCAAGGGACGTATTAACCCTTTAAAACAACTTTTGAATTGGCGTCGGCTATTGCTGGCCAAAAAGTTCGATTACCCGACCGCAGCTCCCAACTTTAGCGGCGAATGAAACCTGCAACCGCTGTTGGGCCATCCCTTAGGTCGACTCGGCCTTAAATGGGCGCGCACGGGTGTGATGGTGTAAATGCATCACAACGATCTTAGCGCTGGCACGGCGGACAACCAGAGTCTCACGTGGTGGAGATTGATTGAGCGAGCGAATCAATTTCGCGATCCATCAATCGGCCACAGCCTGTAATTGGAGAGAGATTAGTGGCTCTCAGGGTGGTGGGGTAAGGGGAGTTGTGGTGAGACCCGCACAGCCATTAACACTGCAACGCCACCATGGGTTGTGGTAGGCCGAAGGCAAGCAGTGGTGAGTGTGTTAGTCTGGGTGGTGTTTGTTAGTCTGGGTGGTGAGTGTGTTAGTCTGGGTGGTGAGTGTGTGTTAGTCTGGGTGGTGTGTGTGTGTAGTCTGGGTGGTGAGTGTGTTAGTCTGGGTGGTGAGTGTGTTAGTCTGGGTGGTTTGTGTGTGTGTTAGTCTGGGTGGTGTGTGTGTGTAGTCTGGGTGGTGAGTGTGTTAGTCTGGGTGGTGAGTGTGTTAGTCTGGGTGGTGTGTGTGTGTGTTAGTCTGGGTGGTTTGTGTGTGTGTTAGTCTGGGTGGTGTGTGTGTTAGTTTGGGTGGTTTGTGTGTGTGTGTTAGTCTGGGTGGTTTGTGCGTGTTAGTCTGGGTGGTTTGTGCGTGTTAGTCTGGATGGTGTGTGTGTTAGTCTGCGTGGTGTGTGTGTTAGTCTGCGTGGTGTGTGTGTTAGTCTGGGTGGTGTGTGTGTTAGTCTGGGTGGTTTGTGTGTGTGTTAGTCTGAGTGGTGTGTGTGTTAGTCTGGGTGGTGTGTGTGTTAGTCTGGGTGATGTGTGTGTGTTAGTCTGGGTGATGTGTGTGTGTGTTAGTATGGGTGGTTTGTGTGTGTTAGTATGGGTGGTTTGTGTGTGTTAGTCTGGGTGGTGTGTGTGTTAGTCTGCGTGGTGTGTGTGTTAGTCTGCGTGGTGTGTGTGTTAGTCTGGGTGGTTTGTGTGTGTGTTAGTCTGGGTGGTTTGTGTGTGTGTTAGTCTGGGTGGTTTGTGCGTGTTAGTCTGGGTGGTGTGTGTATTAGTCTGGGTGATGTGTGTGTGCGTTAGTCTGGGTGATGTGTGTGTGTGTTAGTCTGCGTGGTGTGTGTGTTTTAGTCGGCGTGGTGTGTGTGTTAGTCTGGGTGGGGAGTATGTGTTATTCGAGGGTGTGTGTGTCTTTGTTTGTCTGGGTGGTGAATGTATGTTCGTCTAGGGTGTGTATGTGTGTTAGTCTGGGTTGGGAGTGTGTGTGTTATTCTGGGTGAGATGTGTGTGTTAGTCTGGGTGGTGAGTGTATTTTAGTCTGGGTGGAGAGTGTGTGTTTGTGTATGTGTTTGTTTGCTAGTCTGGGTGGTGAGTGTGTGTTCGTCTAGAGTGGGTGTTAGTCTGGGTGGGGAGTGTGTGAGTCGAGTGTGGTGAGTGTGAGTGTGTGATGCTGGGGGTGAGATGTGAATGTTGATTTGGCAGGGTGATTTTACTGTTGTGGGTGTTTAACCACTGACGTCGCCACCCACTGGATGATGTTGGTACTCACAATGCCCATCCAGAATGCAGAGAGAAATCTTCCTCCATCACGGAAGTCCCGACTCCTCGTGCTATCCACGACGTGTCACTTAATCACTCGTTCCGAATGCAGTGAGAGATTTAGCCACAGGATAAAGGCCCTGAACAATTTGATTATTAAATAAGGCAGGAGTTACCTTAGAGTCGGTTGGAGCCTCAGAAAACGATCTTCGCAACTGTATATTTTACTTTTCCTTCTTTGCGATGATTTATTTTACACAGACTAAATAATCCCAGCACCTCGTAATGGGGTTAAGTAAAAAAAAAATAGGTGTAAAATACATAGCTCGCTTGAGCGCTGCACATGCTGTGTGGATACGTTTACATCGGACTCGCCATCCCCGCCGTGACATTTGTTTTACATGTTTGGGAGTGCAGCGTGATGTTGAGAGTCGCGCTCCCTCTGTGATCTTCTCCCCTATCTTGAGAGGCGGCAGAGGAAACGCCGGCTACGGAATTCACGCAGCGGTGTGAGGCTACTCTCGGTTGACTGCAGATGGCCGCGGTCGACCAAGGCCACCGTCAACCCCTTCTCCTGGAGCTTTCGGGTCACCCACCAACTTATATACCCGCGCCACCTGACACACGGAGGAAGTCCGTTCTAAATCAGGCGCGATGATTATATTACGGCCATGGCAATTGTCGACCGGCAAGGGGTCGTCGAGGTTCCACACCACCCCCCCCCCCGCCACCTCGCGTGGGATGCGTTAGGAGCTGCTGCTGTGGCCTGAATGCCCCAGCAGGTTATGCTCCGGGCAAGTCATTTGGCGGGAGTGAAATACTAAACTGGAATTCAACCATTTTTACTTTACCAGCCAAGGCCCCACTGAGCTACGTAGCTCATTTTTCAGAAGCGACCTGGCCACACATGATAGCTCAACGAAGTGGCTTATCACGTGGAAATGTATAGCAGCCGAATACTCTAAACGCGGAGACGAATCCACATGACCACGGGGAGAGAGGACAGGCACACTCCAAATCTACAGGTGTCGCGGTTGTAATCGAACCCACGACCTCCTGCATACCAGGCGAGGTCTCATGCTCCCTTCGTGTCCTTCTAGCTGGACTTGGTGGTGCTCAGGATCTCGCCGCAGTTTTTCTGCAGGGTGGCATCCGCAGGGTGGCATCCACATTCCCCTTTCAGCAGGAGCAGCACCTACCAACTGTGTGCCCGGATAGGCAGGGTGGGGGGGGGGCTTACATTTACACGATCTGTGAAAGAGAGCATCACAGCTCTTCGGATCCCTCCATGATAAACAAAAGATTCTGATACTGATGTGGCAAGTGTCCTGAAGGTTCACCTTCGGCGAGGACAGCTGACTGGCGCAAGTCTCGCGAGCTTTTCACCCCGTGTGGGGAAGCAGTTTGGGAGAATTGCAGCCTCGTGAGGTCCGAATTTCTGACTGGTTAAGAGCCTGCATCACCCGTTGCTACGAGTTGTGACCCGAAGGCTTGAGGGCACCACTCCACCAGGGCAGTGGCGACCTTCCCGGTCCGTGGTCATATGCCGGGCGGCTACGTGGAAGTGGGGGCCCGTACCTTCACCAGGCACTGCAGGTTGGATACTCTGGCCTCCTCGAATGCTTACTTTGGGAGTGCAGCCTTGTGTGATGGCCGTATAAGGCGCGTTTGTGTCCCCTCCTCCAGGTTGCCAGCTGTGGTAGTCGCCGACGTTGGCAATGCCGACGTTGCCAGTGCCGACATCGTCCAGTCGGCGGCGATGTTGAGGGTTAGAAAAAAACTTTTTACCTGGGGTGAAAAACTTGGCTTTGATGGTCGACATCGTCGGCCGCTGGACTCCCACCTGTCCATGTGTGTGGCCGACCGGCCAGCCAATCGGCCGGCCTCTCGCGCTAGGACTGTTGGAGGGTTCTCGTCGGATCTGCTTTTGAAGTGCCGATGACCAAGTTTTCCAGAAGTGCGCCACGTGTGTTTGAGCCTGGCTCGGCCACCACGGTGGCGAGATGTTAACTACCTCGCCTGGTGTACAGGAGGTCGTCGTGGGTTAAATCCCGACCCTGACTCCTGTATATTTATAGTTTGCGTGCTCGTTCTCCCCGGCGTTTATCCGGGTCCTCGGGGTTTTCCCTCCAAATTTAGCAACATACGTTAAGATAATTTAGCTGCTATACATTTCCACATGATAAGCCACTTGGTTGTGCTATTGTTTGTGGTCAGGTGGCTTCTGATAAAAAAAAGCTATATAGTAGCTCAGTGGACCTTTCACTTGGTTAAAAAAAAGTTCAAATGGGATACTTCACCGGTCGGGTAACACTCGGCACAGGTCTCGCGTTGTTTCGTTCTCAGGCCTGGCCGATGGCATTCGTAACCTCATGCTTGTTGTGGAGCGCAAACGGTCGCCGCGTCACGTTTTTCGGGCGTCCAGCCTTCCCTCTCCTTTCACCTTTTCCGCTCTCAAATCTGTGCCTGCTGTTGGACGGGATGGGTGTCGGAGTGGTGGCCTTTGTTGGCTCCCGCAGCCTGCCGTTGTGCTTCGCGAGTGAGTTTTGAGGCATCCTGCATAAGCACTAGGGAGGGAGCTAAGCGGCAGAAAATCTCTCCCCCTTACGTCCTGGACAGGCCCTGCGGGGAGTTTGAAAGTGTTGCTCATCCCAACATCGTCCAGTGGATGGCGACGCCGACCATCAAAATGAACCCGAGCTTAGCATAGGCGCTCTGTGTGTATTCGCGTTTTCGAGTGAGTTGTGGATGGGTGTGTTTGTGGACGGGCTAGTGAGTGTGTGTGCCTGTCTGTGCCAATGCAGGTGCTGCTGGTGAGCAGTAGCCGGTACCCGGACAAGTGGATCGTGCCGGGCGGCGGCATGGAGCCCGAAGAGGAGGCGGGCGTGGCAGCCATGCGGGAGGTCTACGAGGAGGCACGCAGAGACATGGGGAAACACGGGGGAGGCACGGGGGGAGGCACGGGGGAGGCCCGGGGGAGGCACGGGGGAGGCACGGGGGAGGCACGGGGGAGGCACGGGGGAGGCACGGGGGAGGCACGGGGGAGGCACGGGGGAGGCACGGGGGGAGGCCCGGGGGAGGCACGGGGGAGGCCCGGGGGAGGCACGGGGGAGGCACGGGGGAGGCACGGGGGGGAGGCACGGGGGAGGCACGGGGGAGGCACGGGGGAGGCACGGGGGAGGCACGGGGGAGGCACGGGGGAGGCACGGGGGGAGGCACGGGGGAGGCACGGGGGAGGCACGGGGAAGACACGGGGGGAGGCACGGGGGAGGCACGGGGAAGACACGGGGGAGGCACGGGGGAGGCACGGGGGAGGCACGGGGGAGGCACGGGGGAGGCACGGGGAAGGCAAGGGGGAGGCACGGGGGAGGCACCGGGGAAGACACGGGGGGAGGCACGGGGGAGGCACGGGGGAGGCACGGGGGAGGCACGGGGGAGGCACAGGGGAGGCACGGGGAAGACACGGGGGAGGCACGGGGAAGGCACGGGGAAGACACGGGGGAGGCACGGGGGGAGGCACGGGGGGAGGCACGGGGGAAACACGGGGGGAGGCACGGGGGAGGCACGGGGGAGGCACGGGGGAGGCACGGGGGAAACACGGGGGGAGGCACGGGGGAGGCACCGGGGAAGACACGGGGGGAGGCACGGGGGAGGCACGGGGAAGGCACGGGGAAGGCACGGGGGAGGCACGGGGGAGGCACGGGGGAGGCACGGGGGAGGCACGGGGGAGGCACGGGGGAGGCACGGGGGAGGCACAGGGGAGGCACGGGGAAGACACGGGGGAGGCACCGGGGAAGACACGGGGGGAGGCACGGGGGAGGCACGGGGAAGGCACGGGGGAGGCACGGGGGAGGCACGGGGGAGGCACGGGGGAGGCACGGGGAAGACACGGGGAAGACACGGGGGAGGCACGGGGGAGGCACGGGGAAGACACGGGGAAGACACGGGGAAGACACGGGGGAGGCACGGAGAATGCACGGGGAAGATAGGGGAAGAGACAGACGGGGGGGAGAAGGCACGGAGGAGGCATGCGGAGACATGTGGGAGACGTGTGGGAGACATTGTGGAGACACGGGGAGAACCTCGCCTCCCCTCGCACACAAATGTCCCCCGTATAGCCTAAACAGACTGTTGGGGCAAGTGCTGTTAGCGAGCACCTTTGAAGGCCAGAACAGCACACGAGGGGGTGGGTGGCCAGCACCACGCTCGGTCGCCTTTGTCTCCCCAGTGCTGATGTTTACACATCGCACCAGGTATTCATTTAAGGTTCAGTCGACCTAGGAGAGGCCCAGGACCGGTTCACATATTTGCTACTTTTATTGGCTGTCGACTGCTCAACAGCTTCATGATTTGGTGGAAGGTGGAGAGTGTTGGGAGCGAGTTGGTGGTGGGGGGATGGCATCGGTGGCTAGGATGGTGTCTCTCGACCTTCATAAATCTGCGATGTGGTTTGTGTGGCTTTAATTCCAGGCTGGAGTGAAGGGAGACCTGGGGCGGTTACTGGGAGTGTTTGAGGTGAGTCCTTGTTACAATATCTGTGGGGGAAAAAAAGAGCCTCGTAGCTTATCGGATTCCTCCAGTCTAAATACATGTTTTATTTGGATACAGCGTCGTCAAATAGCTGTAGGATGTGTAACGTGCTCGGTCTGCTCACGGGCGGCGGGATGCCACGGACAACGAGCGGGGAGGGCAGCCAGAAGTGGCGCCAACTATTTCCCCGCCCCTGTGGTCGCCCTACCTTTGCTCGCCTTGCCACCTCCATTAATGAGTACTTATACCTGTGCGAGGAAACCGGATTACCTGGACAAATTAACACGTAGGCTTTCGCGACCAATATTATTCATAATAAAGGTCTTTGGGTTAGATCGCGTTATTTATAAATGTGTCGTAACCCTCCACCACCCGACACGGCCAATCGGCAAAAAAGTGTCACGTTGACAAAAGACAAATAGTTCACTACTTTAGCCCACCGGTGTGTTGAAGAGTGAATCCACAACGTTTACAATTCGCCATTCTGGCGAATTGTCCGATGATGCTGGATGTAATTACCAGCGGAACGTCGTACTCAAACTGTAAATGTTGTGGATTCACTCTTCAACACACCGGTGGGCTAAAGTAGTGAACTATTTGTCTTTTGTCAACGTGACACTTTTTTTCTGATTGGCCGTGTCGGGTGGTGGAGGGTTACGACACATTTATAAATAACGCGATCTAACCCAAAAACCTTTATTATGAATACCTGGACAAACCCCAGGCATTCAAGGGGGGGAGGTGGCCGGTGGAGCGGGGGGGGGGTGGGTAATGCTCAATCTTCGTGCACACGGCAATTAATCCACTTGCTGTGCTGCCACGAGCCAGGAGGTGGCGACCTCAATGCGCAGAGGGTACGAGACGTGCACGAACGCGCACGCGCGCACGCGCGTGCGCGTTCGTGTGTGTGTGTGTGTGATCCATCAACCCTCGCTGCCTCCACCGTGCTGGGCTACAGGCCACGTACGAACACGGCCACCGGCGTACGGGCGACGCGAGGGTACGGCTTGAGAGCCGGCGGTGTTGACGGTGGTTCTCTCAGCGGGCCAACCGCGTCATCGCGTGACGCTTTCGGACGCGCGTCTGCGGCCGTCTGGAACACCCTTCCTTCCGATATTAGGAAGCCGTTGGAGCTATGCACTTTTAAATGTCTATTGAAAACTAATTTCTTTGGAACTGCTGTTGTTTATTTAGCACGGTTGGCTCCCTGCAATGCGAAAGAAGTTCAACATACGTACATACATAGACTCGCACAGAGATGCATTAGACTCACACAGAGACCCATAGATTCACGCAGAGACCCACAGACTCACACAGAGACCCATAGACTCACACGGAGACCCATAGACTCACGCGGAGACCCATAGACTCACACAGAGACCCATAGACTCACGCAGAGACCCATAGACTCGCACAGAGACCCATAGATTCACGCAGAGACCCACAGACTCACACAGAGACCCATAGACTCGCACAGAGACCCATAGACTTACGCAGAGACCCATAGACTCGCACAGAGACCCATAGACTCGCACAGAGACCCATACACCCACGCAGAGACCCATAGACTCATACATAGACCCATAAACTAACACAGGGACGCATAGACTCGCACAGAGACCCATACACCCGCGCAGAGACCCATAGACTCACACAGAGACCCATAGACTCACACAGAGACCCATAGACTCGCACAGAGACCCATAGACTCGCACAGAGATGCATAGACTCACACAGAGACCCATAGTTTGTTGGCTTTCCTCGCACCTCCGATTAGCATGGTTGGCTATGTACAGTGTGAAAGAAAGTTCAACATACGGGTACGTACAACGTTTTGGAATGGGGGGCTGTCAATCAAGGCCACTACACCCCGTGCCGTTTGTCTTTTCTGTTTTCTGTATTCAAAAAGTTCACTTTCACGCCGCGCCGCGTTCACCCGCCACTCCGCGTTCACCCACCGCTCCGCATTCACCCATAACACTGCAGGACACAAAAATGACAAAAGACAAAGGTCCCCCATGTAGCCTAAACAAACTTTTGGGGAAAGTGCTGTTAGCGAGCACCTATGAAGCCCGGCGCAGCACACAAGCATGCTTTAAGCCCCTCGCTCACCAGCTCGCTCACCAGCTCCATCACTCGCCCACCCACTCGTCAAACTGCAGGTCACCTCGCTTCTTTTTCACAAGTTCCTACAACACCCTTGCTCAAAGCAAGACCCGTATTAACTCTACCTACAACAGCAACACTGAGCACTATCTATGACAACCTCGATAACGCTTTGTGTTGCTCTTTACTTGACATTCCGTGCCTTGGGGTCTGTGCTCAGGGCAACCGTGATTTAAAAAGTCTCTGTCGGCGCGCGCGTCTCTCGCCAAACCCAAACCGTAGAACCAGGAGCGCAAGCACCGCACCTACGTGTACATCCTGATCGTCACGGAGATCCTGGAGGACTGGGAGGACTCCGTGAACATCGGTAAGGAAACGCATGCTCCGTCAGCCGCCGCCGCCGCCGCAGCCACCGGTAAGAACCCTCGCTCGCCGCGCTCTCTCCTACCTCCGGACTTGGATGAACCAGCAACGTGCTCTCGGCTGCCTCCGCCTGCTCTGCTCGGGCTGCCTCTCTCGGGCTGCCTCGGCCTCCACCTGATCCGCTCGGGCTCCCTCAAGCCACACCTCTCTCAGGCTGCCTCTCTCCCTAGGGCTGCCCCTCGCGACCTGCCTCTATCAGGCCGCCTCTCTTGGCCTGCCTCTCTCTCGGGCTGCCCCTGCACGACCTGACCCTCTCGGGCCGCCTCTCTCGGTCCGCCTCTCTTGGGCTGCCTCTGTCGGGCAGGGGTGGCCAACCTGTAACAGACCAAGAGTCAAAAAGTACCCACGAGTTCTGCAAAGAGCCAAGTGTATTTATATATGTATATACGTGTGTGTGTGTGTGTATATATAGGCAGTTTTTGGCACATCACGGGACGCATTCATCATTCTTTGCTGCTACTGTGATCGTGTGTGTTCTACACCATGCCCATTTGATATAGCCGCATGTGGTGGATTAAAAAAGCCACATGCGGCTTGGGAGATGCCGGTTGGCCACCTCTACTTTAGGGCCCTCTCTCTCTCCATTCGCCACGTCTTGTCTATTTTAGTCACGTATTTACAAATTATATGAGCAAACTGAACGCGCTTTCCTTTCACTGAACATTATGGATTTTTTTTTTTTTAAACGTGTTTATTTGAAACATTTCACCTGGAAAATTCCTTGAGATTGGAACAGCTCGCTTCCAAGGGTGGCTAGGCTGTCAAGTGACACGCAAACACATACAGGCACGTACACGTCGAGGCAACAACAGCGCTTGTGCCAGGCTAGGTGCACTTGAGGCCAGGTGAAGTGTTCAAGGCTCACTGACAGGACGTCACGGGATAGACTCAGGTGTTATGGATTAACCGCCTGAGATGACTGACATCTTAGTTGAGGCTGAGTCGACCTAGGGGAGGCCCAGGACCGGTTCAGATAATTATCACATGTGTTGGCCATGAGTGGGACTCGGAACTCGGGTCGCCGGGTTCGTAGTGCAGCGCACTAACCACTACACTACCGCTCCCCATACATGAAGGTGCATGCAGACGGACACATAGACACTTCAGGCACATACAGGCAGAGGCACAGAGACACATATGGGGCACACATTCAGACACACATACAGTCACATAGCGACACTTATTATTCTTATCAATCCTGTAAATGAGACACTGAATGTCAGAAACGGGTCCAGAGTTGAACGAATACTGTTGAAATGTACTCCCAGAAGGCCGTGTGGCCAATGGGATTGTGTCAACAAAACATGTCTTTTTTACATCAAGGCACATGTCTGAAATGTAGGAATCATCTGTTTATTTATGTTACTTACTATAACAGTGAATCATTAAAGGTAAATAAATCAGCTGCGCGCCATACATGAGTGCAACACAGTTATAAATGTGTCACTTGCACCGCGTGGAACCGAGTCGAACGTCCGCGATTGGAGCGGTAACGCGGCCCAGAGAGGCGGGGGGTGGGGGGGGAGCCCGTTTGCCCGCTTGTTGCATCGCTTCGTGGTCCGAATGGGCGAGCCGCCCTGGTTATTACTGCCGTGTGTGTTTACCCATAAATACCGCACACTCTCCGCTTCGCGGTGGGCCTCAAACATCCCGCGGCGTCATTCCCGACCGAGTAGGCCGTCGCTTGCCCGGCGTCGCACTCCAAATTTGTCTCATTCAAACAATTAAATCGCAGGCCGCAGATCTTACCGAATGATAATATTTATTTCTACTGCAGGGGGAATCCGATGAGCTAATAAGGTCTTTTTTACAGTTGTCCAGTAGGGACGGGCAAGAACGTTCCAACAATAAACAATACAAAAAGCATGATAGTGTAAAGTACAAGTAAACAAATCACCCAACCACGTACAAATGAAACTAAATCATCCCCATCCTACCAGGCAAAGCCCACTGACTATTAACTTATTTTTCAGAAGCGAGCCGGTTACAAATGATAGCTCAACAAAGTGGCCCATCATTTGGACATTTATAGCACCAAAATAGTCTAACTAATCTACACATTCCATAGCAATCGTCGCTCGTTACTGGCAGACTGATGCACAGGGACAGCTGCCACGGGGGGGTCTCCGAATATTTGAGATGTGATGTGGGCCATTCAAGCCCCATGTGCATGCAAATGAATAATATATAGTTTATTTACAATTGTGAAATTTCATTCACTCATTCATCTATCCACCTTTGTGTGTTCATTCATTCTAACCCCATGTTCGCTCCCCCTCTCCTTCCCCATGGCCTGCTCTCAACTACTGCCACCTACTACCACCTACTACTGCCACCTACCAACTACCCATGCCACCTACTACCACCACTTAACAACTACTACCGGCAACTATCAACTACCTTCACCTCCAACTACCACCTACCTGTACCACTTACCAATCACCCACCCCCACCACCTACCACCAATCCCCGGTATTCAATCACTGCTGCCACCTACTCCTGGCCTTGCCCTTTCGGCTTGCCCAATGCCTCCCCTTCCCCCGTACCGCCTCCTCCGTCCACTCCACTCACCTCCACCAATCCCATCCCGACCCCCCCCACCACCAATCCCAACCACGGCCCCCGCGTGTGCCCTTCGTAGGCCGCAAGCGGGGCTGGTTCTCCGTGGACGCGGCCATCGAGTGTCTGCAGGGTCACAAGCCCGTGCAGGCCACGTACCTGCAGAAGCACAAGCAGGGTGGCCCAGCAGGGGTGGACAGCGCCACCGTTAACAACGGCGCCACCCCCGTCGCCACGGCAACCGAAGACAAGGCCGCCACCCACCCCATCGCTAGCACGCCCGACGTCAGATGATAGCGGCGATGAGCGCGAGCACCTTTAACGGCGACGGAGATTGAGCGAGGAGGGGGAGGAGATGGTGTGAATTACAGGCACGCGTTGTCACTTGCGATGTTAATGTTCGTAGCGCGATAACAAACAAAAAACTAAACAGTGATGCGGAGATGAGAATATTATCAGCAGCTCGGGACAGGAAACGTTCAATTGTATTTTATAATGTAATGTACAGAGGCTTGCATGGATGTTGCCAGTATTGAATTTGCACAGGCGTTATTATTATTATTTGTCGTTGTTCTTGTCTTTATTTTCGTGATTTTGCGTTTCCCGTCATTTTATTTTAGAGAGTGGTTTTTAATTTCTTATTGTCGAAGTTACTGCTGCTGTTTCACCGCATGACGAAGTTAATTATACTAAGCCATACTCTTGGGTTTTGTGATTTTATTTAATTTTCTCTCCAAATGTCAATTTTACGCATTTTTTCTCTCTCTGCACAAAGCAACAAAAGTATCTCACTCCATGATCCACTCACTCCAGTTGTGTGGCACTCCATGCCGGGATTTTCAACTTCCCTGAAAAAAAAGTTAACTTATCAGTATATAGGTGAAATGTTGTTGAGCGCCCGTGTAATATAACACTACTAAAAAAAATGTGTTTAAACATTTACGCGCAACACTCATTATTACAACAACAAAAAACTTGTTATGAACATTTTATATCAAAGTGTTTAGACTGCAGTTGCTGCTGACAACTAATTGCATCGTCAGATAAAGAGTTATCGTCACCGGCGAATAAGCGGAGTTCCTAAGCGCGCCCACTTGAGATGGGATGAGGGTTCTGTATGGGATGAGACGAGAGTTCTGTATGGGATGAGGGTTCTGTATGGGATGAGACGAGGGTTCTGTATGGGATGAGACGAGGGTTCTGTATGGGATGAGACGAGAGTTCTGTATGGGATGAGACGAGGGTTCTGTGTGGGACGAGAGTTCTGTATGGGATGAGACGAGGGTTCTGTATGGGCTGAGACGAGGGTTCTGTGTGGGACGAGAGTTCTGTATGGGATGAGACGAGGGTTCTGTGTGGGACGAGAGTTCTGTATGGGATGAGGGTTCTGTATGGGATGAGACGAAGGTTCTGTATGGGACGAGAGTTCTGTATGGGATGAGACGAGGCTTCTGTATGGGATGAGACGAGGGTTCTATATGGGATGAGACGAGGGTTCTATATGGGATGAGACGTGGCTTCTGTATGGGATGAGACGAGGGTTCTGTATGGGGTGAGGGTTCTGTATGGGATGAGACGAGGCTTCTGTATGGGACGAGGCTTCTGTATGGGATGAGACGAGGGTTCTATATGGGATGAGGGTTCTGTATGGGATGAAACGAGGCTTCTGTATGGGATGAGACGAGGCTTCTGTATGGGACGAGGCTTCTGTATGGGATGAGACGAGGGTTCTATATGGGATGAGACGAGGGTTCTGTAGAAAAGCAATCGGGCATCGGGTGATGGCGAATTCCACTGTGCACGAGAAGAGACATGCTGATGTAGACGTCATTGCGCAGTGAAAGTCACTGACGCGGCAGCAACAGGGCTCGGCTCGTGTCAAGTTGTACGCGGGCAGCCTCAAGGTCTGACGCCCTTCGTAAATGTGTCACGTTCTTTAAACGCGCTTTATATGTTTATTAAAAACGTGAAGTTCAACTTAAGGAGTCCGATAGTTTTTACTGAATAACTCGCTTAACCGGACCGTTCGCCTCCTTCCCCATATCTGTCCCTCCGCGTGAAAAAAAAAGTATTTTTGTTTTCTTTGTACACATCCCGTCAGCCACGAAGTGCGTAATTCCAGCAGTATTCAGCAAACGCCGGGAAGATTTCAACATTCGGGCGTCTCGGCAGCAGACTCAAGTCTTGCTTTGACCCAATGCCGGTGACCTGCCAGATGTGTTGTAGGCAAGGAGCCTCTCTGCTAGACATGGGTCCTAGGTGGACGCAAAGCTACAAGAGAGGTGACTCGCCAACAACCCTGGTGCATAAGGCAGCTGTTTAATGTGCGTGTACATGCTTTAACGACACGCGGGTCCACACCTCGGAGATCGGTTGCGCAACTTTGATTGCATGAAACTAAATCGCCTCCGCAACCGGTTTGCTCAGCAGGAGCTCGAGCGTCGACCCGCTCGCATTTTCGAGCGACGATGCTTCCAGCACGTGCTGCGACATTGGCAATCTTTGTCGTTACAATCCTGCCTTCGTGATTGGTCATCGCGATCCTGATGGGCGGTGGGGCTAACCGGGAAAGGGGCTGGGCTCTGACGTGAAGGGGCGTGTTTCTGACGTAATGGGGGCGAAATGGGCAACCACTTTCTCAGACGTCGGACAAAGCAGTTGCAGGCGGATTCAGTTGCGCGCCGATTTAAGAGCTTGCTGGCCGTGCAATCGATTGCGAGGAATTGCCGATGGGATGGTTGCCTAACCAACAGAAGAGGCAGGGCGGTGTATATGTCGCCATTACGCCGGTGACCGTGCAAAGGGTTGGACGTGAAGCCCGGCACGCTTTGCGGCAGGCATTTGGCCACCGGAACAAATGGAAACATTCTTAAATAAATAAAGCACTTTTGAAGACGATTGTTTCATAGATTTATTCGTGCCAAGGTGGTCGCGAGTGTGTATGTATGCTGAACTTCTTTCGCGCCGTACGTAGTGATCAGCGGTAGTGCGGCGGTTAGCGCGCTGCGCTACGAACCTGGCGACCCGAGTTCGATTCCCGCTCGCGGCCAACACCAGTGACGATTATCTGAACCGGTCCTGGGCCTCCCCTAGGTCGACTCAGCCTCAAACGAGTACCTGGTGCGGTGTGTAAAAACATTGCCACTGGGGAGACAAACGCGGCCGAGCGTGGTGCTGGCCACCCACCCTCTCGTTTGCCGTGACGGCGTTCATAGGTGCTCGCTAACAGCACTTTCCCCAAGAGTCTGTTAAGGCTATACGGGGGATCTTTGTATACATGTTGAACTTCTTTCGCACCGTACGTAGTAGCCAACCCTGCTAATCGGAGGCGCTAATCGAGTGCCTGAGTGATTGGCAGAGTGTACGTTGTAATGAGGTTCTGGCAGAGTGTACGTTGTAATGAGGTTCTGGAAGGGCTACGGAGCTGCTATTTTCCACACACATTTTCGAATATTTGCTTGTGCCTCGCAATATCTGGGTGTTGTGGTTCGTGACAGTCCGGGCGAGGTTGATGATCGAGACTGGCGACCGAGTGGCGAACCAGTGGAGGGAACCCGCCAGAGAATTCACGGCCACCGTGGAGACGGAGCGATGAAATCAGCTTTTGTGTGCAGATGCTAAATCGAGTGTTGCATCACGGGATGGCGAGGGCCTTTGGGAGGCCTTCATCCAGCAGTGGCTCGATCATAGCTGATTCGTTCATTCAATTTTTTTTTTTTAGCAAAAACTCGCCACCCCCCCGCCTCCCGCGCGCCCCCCACTAAAGAGGGCTAAAGAGACGATCTGCACAGTGCGTATTATTTCTCCTTACCTAAATATGTATGTAGGCTTATAGCATAGTCAATTACATTTAGTTATAAATTCATGACTGGGCAAGAGGGAGGGGGGGGGGACATTGGCGAGGATGGATCACGAAGCGCGTCGCGGCAGTCGTTTGTCTCATCCTGGGCAGGAAATATTTTCTCGTTTATGACGCCGAATTTGTGGGCACTTTGGGTAAAAAATAAACATTGAAAAAAATATATATCTTAACTAATTAGCATCCCGATCTGAGATGAATATTTGTGGCCGGAGAAACGAAACCCCGGAAAAAAATAACTCGCAAGAGAGACGCAAAACGGAGAAGATTAACGATTCGAGCCAGCGTTGGTGGACACGTGCTTGGACGGCCGTGCTATGAATGTGGCGAGCGGTGGCGCAGCGGTTAGCGCTACGCTGCGCACCGAACCCGGCGACCCGAGTTCGAGTCCCGCTCACGGCAAACAACACCACCGGTGGCGATTATTTGAACCGGTCCTGGGCCTCCCTCTAGGTCCACTCGGCCTCAAATGAGTACCTGGTGCGGTGCGTGAAAACATCGCCACCGGGGGAGACAAAGGCGTCCGGGCGTGGTGCTTGCCACCCGCCCCGCTCGTGTGCCGTGCCGGCCTTCGTCGGTGCTACTTCGCTTAACAGCACTTGCCCCCAACAGTCTGTTAAGGCTATACGGGGAGGGGGGGGGAGGGGTGGATATTTTGTCTTTGTTATGATTGCTCCGCGTAATCGCGTCGCTGGTGCCGGAACCTGGCTGGGGGCTCCCTCTGGGAGCTCCCTATCTGCCCTCTAAGCCGGGCATTTAATTAGAGCGTTAATTAATGAGGGATAATCGGGGCCTCTCTGGGCAAAGGGGTCTCCCTGGGCCCCCTCTCCACCAACACCTGCACCATCTCTGACAGAAATCCGTGGGGACTTCCTCGAGAAATCCGTGGAAGTTCCCACCCTTGTGGCGAGTAAAACAAACAAAAAAGCAATTTCATTTTGTTATATTTTACACAGCGACGCTCATGCATTTTTTTGTTTGTATTAATGTTAATCTGCTATTGTGTTTTGCATAGAACTAGAACGCATATCTAACACAGAGGGCCCTTGCCTATACACATCTGGCCCATCACCAGCGTTGGTTCAAGCAAGCCTGACCGCTGATGAGACACCAAATGTCGAAACTGGTGCAGAGTATTTTTATGCGTGGCTTGAAAACCGATGCTGTTGAAAAGTATGCACTCTCAGCAAGCCGTGTCGGTGATGGGGATGTGTAAATTAGCTTGTATTGAACTTGATTTAAAGCTTTGGTGACTGCAGGGATTACTCTTTGGTTCTTTCGGTAAAGTCACGTAGAAAGAAAATAAATGTAATAATATAATCCGACGTTTCGATTGCAACACAAGCAACCGTCATCGGGTAGAAAACAAAGCTAGTGAACTTATAAACACAATGCAATGCAACACAACAAAGAGTCGGCTAACACAGCAGTCAGCGCCTCACCTGGTTGATTAACGTTCTTCCAAATATTGCTAAGTTTGAGAGAGAGACAAAACACAGACACGGAGACACACGGACAGACGCATAAGCAGAGAGAGAAACACAGAGACACACAGAGAGAGACACACACAGAGACAGAGAGAGAGACACACAACATAGACACACAGACACAGAGAGACACACGGACAGACGCACAAGCAGAGAGAGACAACACAGAGACACACAGAGAGAGACACACACAGAGACAGAGAGAGAGACACACAACATAGACACACAGACACAGAGAGACACACGGACAGACGCACAAGCAGAGAGAGACAACACAGACGCACAGAGAGAGACACATACAGAGACAGAGAGAGAGACACACAACATAGACACACAGACACACAGAGAGAGAGACACACGGACAGATGCACAAGCAGAGAGAGACAACACAGAGACACACAGAGAGAGACACACACAGAGACAGAGAGAGAGACACACAACATAGACACACGGACACACAGAGAGAGACACACGGACAGACGCACAAGCAGAGAGAGACAACACAGAGACACACAGAGAGAGACACACAACATAGACACAGACACACAGAGAGAGAGAGACACACACGGACAGACGCACAATCAGAGAGAGACAACACAGAGACACAGAGAGAGAGAGAGACACAGAACATAGACACAGAACGTAATCAACCAGGTAGGGTGTTGACTGTTGTGTTAGCCGACTCTGTGTTGTATTGCATTATATTTCTAAGTTCACTAAGTTTGTTTTCTACCTGATGACGATTGCTTGTGTTGCAATCTAAACGTCGGATTCTATTATTTAATTTATTTTTATTTCTACGTGACTTTACCGAAAGAACCAAAGAGTCAACTTGTATTTTTACGTGGAGGGACGGACTAGGCGCTTAAGTGGCGAGATGTTAACTCCCTCGCCTGGTCTACAGGAGGTCGTGGGCTTTGATCTCGAACCTGACGCCTGTTGTATATTTGGAGTTTTCGTGCTCTCTCTCTCTCTCTCCCCCCGTGGTCGCGTTGATTTTCGCCACGTCTTCTTGTTGTTTTACCCTCCACATTTAGAATCAACATCACGCGTTTAGCAGAGCATTTGGCTGCCATAGATTCCCACGTAATTTTCTCTTGCGGATGACGTCGTTAAATCTGTAACGTCCATTGTGAGTCACGCACCCACAGCGCACTTTCAGCTGGGGTGACGCCGCGGTGGTGAGAATGTTAACTCCCTCGCCTGGTCTACAGGAGGTCGTGGGCTTTGATCCCAGACCCGGCGCCTTTTGTGTATTTGGAATTTGCGCGTTCTCTCTCTCCCCCCTCCCCCCTGCCTCCTCTGGTGTCGCGGGGATTTTTCTCCAGGATTACTCTGGTTTTGGTTTTCCCCTCCACATTTAAAATCGGCATCGCGCGTTTAGTGGAGTGGCTGCTGAACAATTCCCACGTGATGAGCCACTTCGTCGCGTTATCGTTTGTGATAGCCACCAGGTCGCTTCTGCAACAACAACAACAACAACAAGAACCACGTGGCTCAGTGGGACCTGAGCTGCTCAAATCACAGCTTTCTCACCCTGATGACGGACGCTTGTGTTGCGCCCGAAACGTCGTGATTTATTTTATTTTACACCTACGTGACTTTACCGAAAGAACCAGAGAGTGCGGGTTCCTGCAGTCACGAAAGCTTCAAAACAAAAGATTAAAAATGGAAACTGCCACGGCGCGCGTTGCATTCGGCTGGACACGTGGACTTCAATCCACAGTGACGGAGTCTCAAGATGGCAATGGTGGAGGTGGCTACGGCGTGGTTCCCTGAAGGGTGGTGACTTTTAACGTCACTCCTCGTTGACCCGAGGCTATCCCGCTACGCCTGACGTGTTTCCGACCACGGCCGCTTACCAATGAAGTCGTTTACGGCGATCATTAAGGAAGACCAATAGAGCTCTGAACGTTGAAATCGAGATTGAAAACTGATTTCTTGAGAACTGCTTCTTGTGTTCAGTTTGTTGTCCTTCCCCCCCCCACCCCCAGCCGCGCGCACCTCCGATTAGCGCGGGTGGATACGTACGGTGCGAAAGAAGTTCAACACACACGTGTGACACATCGGATGGTCTCGTAACGATGCAGAAGTCAATATCGGTTAAGTGGGTCGCTGTTAAACAACTGAAGTCTTTATTACACAACGACAACAACAACAACAACCACTTTTGTTTAGTGACTACAGGGACTCCACTGCTTAGCTAGGTCCGTAAGTCGATGTCCAACTTTACTCCCGTCGATTCCAAACACGTTGTACGGCGTGCACACTAAACACGGGGAATGGCTTTAAACGTTGTAAACTCTCCTGCAGATGTAGATGCCACCGGTTCTTCGTGTTCTACAGATGTAGATGCCACCGGTTCTTCGTGTTCTACAGATGTAGATGCCGCCACCGCCATCTATTGCGCGGGGCGGTTGAACTCACGACTCTAGGTCCGAACAGGTTTGTTCGTATCTCTGAAAGTTCGTAAGTCGAGTGTTCGTAAGTAGAGGAGTCCCTGTATACGGTAACTATCTTAACCGTCTAGAAGCGCGCGCTACTAAGCTCCATCTCCTGGCGACGTCAAGCGCACGTGCACAATATATATATTTTACATTTTACAATCGCGTGTGAATCGACTTTTGACCCCCCCCCCTCCTCGTCACACGGCGTCACAAAAAGTCAGACCCCCCCCCCTCAAATATGACGTCACAAAGCTCTGCTCCCCCCCCCCAAAAATAAAACATGCTTCAAATCGCTTTAAACTATTGTCATTGTAGTACGACTTTAATGTGGCGCTGCACTCTGATGTCGTAGGAGAAAACAGTTATTAAAAAAGTCTATTTAATTAAGTAGAACGTGTTGTCTATATTTATTTAAAGTTGCGCATTTTGATGTGACGTCACATTTATCCCCCCCACCCCCCCCCCTCATCACACATCTTTACAAATGTCTGACCCCTCCCCCCCCCCAGGTGCGTGACGTCATTTATGGACGGCCCCTAGGGTGAGTCTGTGTGTGAAATATTACAGGTGAGCATTACAGGTGAGTTGCACCGACGAGTAAGGTGAGTTTGTGAGTGAGTATATGTGTACAGATGAGTAGGCTAGTTGGACAGATTAGTGGGGGGTGAATAGGTGATTGGTGAATGTGTGGGTGAGTAGGTGAATGAGTGAGTTGGCGGCCGGGCGTGGTGCCGGCCACCCACCCCCTCGTGTGCCGTGCCGGCCTTCATAGGTGCTACTCGCTAACAGCACTTGCCCCAACAGTCTGTTACAGGCTATACGGGAAATCGTCGTTATGCAGGTGAGTGTCCATGTTCGTGAGTGTACATGTGAGTGAGTGTACATGTCAGTGGGTGAGTCAGTGTACAGGTAGGTTGGTGAGTGGGTAAGAAAGTGTGCATGCGATGTGAGCGAGTGTACAGGCCAGTGTACAGGTAAGTGGGTAGGTGAGTGTACATGTGAGTGAGTGTACAGGTGAGTGTACGGGTAAGTAGGTAGGTGAGTGTACATGTGAGTGAGTGAGTGTACAGGTTAGTGTAGTTGTAAGTAGGTAGGTGAGTGTACATGTGAGTGAGTGTACAGGTGAGTGTACGGGTGAGTGGGTAAGTGAGTGTACATGTGAGTGAGTGTACACGTGAGTGTAGAGGTAAGTAGGTGGGTGAGTGGGTCGTTGAGTGTAAATGTGAGTGAGTGTACACGTGAGTCTACAGGTATGTGGGTGGGTGTACAGGTGTACAGGTGAGTGTACATGTGAGTGAGTGTACAGGTGAGTATACATCTGAATGAATGTACATGTCAGTGGGTGAGTGAGTGTACAGGTGAGTGAGTGTATAGGTGAGTGTACATGTGAGTCAGTGTACAGGTGAGTGTACAGGTGAGTGTACATGTGAGTGAGTGTACAGGTGAGTATACATGTGAATGAATGTACATGTCAGTAGGTGAGTGAGTGTACAGGTGAGTGAGTGTATAGGTGAGTGTACATGTGAGTCAGCGTACAGGTGAGTGTACAGGTGAGTCAGTGTACAGGTGAGTGTACAGGTGAGTCAGTGTACATGTGAGTCAGTGTACATGTGAGTCAGTGTACAGGTGAGTGTACAGGTGAGTCAGTGTACATGTGAGTCAGTGTACAGGTGAATGTACAGGTGAGTGTACATGTACAGATGAGTGTACAGGTGAGTGAGTGTACAGGTGAGTGTACAGGTGAGTGAGTGTACAGGTGAGTGTACAGGTGAGTGAGTGTACAGGTGAGTGTACAGGTGAGTCAGTGTACATGTGAGTCAGTGTACAGGTGAGTGTACAGGTGAGTCAGTGTACAGGTGAGTGTACAGGTGAGTCAGTGTACAGGTGAGTGTACAGGTGAGTGAGTGTACAGGTGAGTGTACAGGTGAGTGTACAGGTGAGTGAGTGTACAGGTGAGTGTACAGGTGAGTGAGTGTACAGGAGAGTGTACAGGTGAGTGAGTGTACAGGTGAGTGTACAGGTGAGTGAGTGTACAGGAGAGTGTACAGGTGAGTGAGTGAGTCACGGGGTGGGGGCGGACCCCCCAGCGAGAGCCGTCGCCACCGCGCGGAGCTGCGATTCGCGGTACGCACGGCGCATGCGCGCCCTGCGGTTCTGAAACCAAACCTGATGGGGACACGCAGCATCATCAGCAACATCATCAGCAACATCATCGTCATCAGCAGCAGTATCATCAGCAACATCAGCAGCATCATCATCAACAGCATCACCAATATCTTCACGACCGGACATTTGTGAAAAAGAGCTTCATTGCTCATCGGATTGCTCCTGCAGTCGAGATAAGCACTCAGACTCTCATCATCAGCAGCATCAGTCGTGTTAGCGTCCCTCTGTATCCCACTGTGTCCCACTGTGTTCAAATCTGATTTGAAGCTTTCGTGACTGCAGGAATTACGCTTTGGTTTTTTCGGTAAAGTCACGTAGAAAGAAAATAAATAAAATAATAGAATACGACGTTTCGATTACAACACAAGCAATCGTCATCGGGTATAATTAAATATGAGAGAGAGACAAAACACAGACACGTGTCTCTATGGTGCCGTGTCTCCGTGTCTCTGTATCCGTGTCTGTGTCTCCGTGTCTATGTTGCAGTGTCTCCGTGTCTCTGTCTCCGTGTCTCTGTGTTCCCGTGTCTCTGTCTCCGTGTCTCTGTCTCCGTGTCTGCGTGTCCCCGTGTCTCTGTGTCTATGTTGCAGTGTCTCCGTGTCTCTGTATCCGTGTCTATGTTGCAGTGTCTCTGTCTCCGTGTCTCCGTCTCTATGTTGCAGTGTCTCCGTGTCTCTGTCTCCGTGTCTCTGTGTTCCCGTGTCTCTGTCTCCGTGTCTCTGTGTTCCCGTATCTCTGTCTCCGTGTCTCTGTGTCTCTGCCGCCGTGTCTGTGTGTTCCCGTGTCTCTGTCTCTGCGTCATCGTGTTCCCGTGTCTCTGTCTTTATGTTCCCGTGTCTCCGTGTTCCCGTGTCTCCGTGTCTCTGTGTCTCCGTGTTCCCGTGTCTCCGTGTCTCTGTGTCTCCGTGTTCCCATGTCTCCGTGTTCCCGTCTCTCCGTGTTCCCGTGTCTCCGTGTCTCTGTGTCTCCGTGTTCCCGTGTCTCCGTGTTCCCGTGTCTCCGTGTTCCCGTGTCTCCGTGTTCCCGTGTCTCCGTGTCTCTGTCTCCGTGTCTCCGTGTCTAGGTTCCCGTGTCTCCGTGTTCCCGTGTATCTGTCTCCGTGTCTCTGTGTTCCCGTGTCTCTGTCTCCGTGTCTCCTGGTTCCCGTGTCTCCGTGTCTCTGTGTCTCCCTGTCTCCGTGTCTCCGTGTCTCCGTGTCTCTGTCTCCGTGTCTCTGTGTCTCCGTGTCTCACCAGCACGCGATCCTCGTCCACTCCGACTCTGTGTGAGAGGCTCTGCGCGAGTTCGATTCCCGGGTAGGGAGCGGCACGGAACACGTGCTCCAGCAGCAACAGCTGCTGACACACACGTCACACACACGTCACACACACAGTCACACACACACACAGTCACACACACACACAGTCACACACACACAGTCACATACACACACGTCACACACACGTCACACACACAGTCACACACACAGTCACACACACACACAGTCACACACACACGTCACACACACGTCACACACACAGTCACACACACACAGTCACACACACACAGTCACACACACACAGTCACACACACACACAGTCACACACACACAGACACAGTCACACACAGTCACACACACACATAGACACAGTCACACACACACACGTCACACACACGTCACACACACACAGTCACACACACACAGTCACACACACACACAGTCACACACACAGTCACACACACACAGACACATAGATACAGTCACACACACACACATAGACACAGTCACACACACAGTCACACACGCACACACGCACACAGTCACACACACAGTCACACACACACCGTCACACACACACAGACACAGTCACACACACACACACACAGTCACACACACACATAGACACAGTCACACACACACAGTCACACACACACAGTCACACACACACAGTCACACAACAACAACAACAACAACCGCCATTCGCCACTAAGTGGCGGTGACGTCACCACGACGCTTGTGCCAGGCTATGTGCACCCTGAGGCCACGTGAAGTGTCGAACGCCCGCTGGCAGGAGGTCACGGGGCAGACCCAGGTGCCACGGGTCGACTGACTGAGATGACTGGCTGATGCACCACCTGTGCCCCCTACTGTGCCAACCTGCTGTGCTTTAGCCACCCGGCGCTCCGCTCGCTGTTGTGAGCGTCGCTCCTCCGCCCTCCGTTGTTGTTGGAGGGCGACTGCCTCCAACTGCCCAGTAGCATCCTTCACGAGCCTCCTCCACAGAGGCCGATCTTGACACCGCTGGTACCAGTCATCGGCAAGTCCACTCAGCTCCACGTCCTCCTGTACCACATCACTCCATCTCTTCTCTAGCCCGTGCCGCGCCCGCTTAGCCCCCTCAATCCGGCCAAACAAAAGCTGTTTCGGCATGCGGTGGCTGGGCATGCGGGCTACATGACCCAGCCATCGCAGCCTTGCCTGCCGGAGGAGCTCACCGATGGGACCCTGCCCAGATCTTTCAAGGATTTGTGAGCTCCTCACACAATCCAGTCTGGTTAAACCCAGGATGGATCGTAGGCAGGTCAGCCTAAATGTTTCTAACCGGCGAAGATGTTCCATTAGGGGGGTCCACGTTTCGCAAGCGTAGAGAAGGGAGGGAATGACCGTGGCCGAGAAGACCTGAAGCTTAGTGCGGAGCGACAGACCAGGTAGCTTCCACACAGCGTTACGCAACCGATGAAAAGATATTGCCGCTCGACTGATTCGGAGTGAGACCTCTGCTGTTAAACTGGAGCCAGTCATAAGCACACTGCCCAGGTATGGGAAACTCTCCACTCTCTCCACAACTGCCCCATCACCGATTGGGAGTTGTGGGGGTGGAGTGTCCGATGGTACAAAATACCCAGGCAGGTGCTTAGTTTTGGTGGGGCTGATGGTAAGGCCCCACCTCTTAGTGGCACGCTCCAGTCTCAGCAGCAGCGTCTCCAACTCCTCCTCTGACTGAGCAGCTATTACCAAGTCATCAGCATACATAACGTGGTTGAGCAATAGGGAGCCATCCCTTGACCGCACCCGGGCATCGATTAGCCTCCCATTATATCTGTACCATATGGAGATTCCCCCGGTACAGCTATTGAAGGCTTCACGAACTACGTGGTCAAAATAGATGTTAAATAATGTGGGAGCCAGAGGACATCCCTGTCGCACCCCAAGGTGTACAGGGAATGGCTCTGACTCCCGGCCACGTAGTTTTACCCGGGCCCGCTCACCATCATGAAGGTCCTTAATGATCGTGAGCAGAGGGTCAGGTACTCCAAAAGCACGAAGAACGACCCAGAGCCCAGGCCTACTGATGGTATCATAGGCCTTGACCAGGTCAATAAAGCAGAGATGTAGGTCTTGTTGGAATTCCCTACACCTCTGCTGTAGCAGACGGACAGAAAATATGGCATCTGTGCAGGACCGCCCTTTCCTGAAACCGCATTGGGGCTCCGCAAGCCTCTCCTCAGCGTGCCTGGCAAGGCGATGCTGAATAATCCTTGCCAGGACCTTTCCCGGCACACTGAGGAGTGAGATGCCCCTGTAGTTGTTACAGTCTGTGCGGTCCCCCTTCTTAAAAAGGGGGACCACCAGGGCATCCTTCCAATCCTGCGGAACCCGTCCAGTGGTCCAGACTGTTGTTATGATGTCATATAGGGCAGTCTGTGCACAAACGCCACCCTCCCTCAGCATTTCGCTTGGGAGATCATCTCTGCCCGCTGCCTTTCCTGGTCTCAGACTCCGGATCGCCTTCAATACTTCCTCAGCAGATGGCACCTCAGCCAGCCACTCACAGGGGGTGACTTCATCCAATATTTGAGGCACCGCAGCCTCAGCAGGGTCATCCTCACTTTGTGCCACGATGTTTTCCTGGCTGTGGGATTTTCCCTCCCCCAGGACCTCACAGAAATGCTCAGCAAATCTGCGAACCTGTTCCTGGGGGTCGGAAATCGGATCACCGTTTTTTCCCCTAATGATGGTAATAGGTGTGGCGCTGCAGGTTACTTTTTTGATGGAGTTAAATAGCGATTTGTGATCACGGGCCACTGAGGCAGACTCCATCTCCTCAGCAACCCGCGACCACCACCCATCCTTGCAGCGCCTCACGGCTCTCCGAACCTCCGAGCGAAGGCTGCGGTAAGCCTCCTCATTCTCTGACGTGGGATTCTGTAGCCGATGACAGTGGGCCTGTCGCTTTTTCTCAACCATCCTGAACAACTCCTCTGTCATCCAGGGTGTCTGGGGAGGTCTGGACCGCGTACCCAAAGCAGCCATTGCAGCTGCATGAGTCACAGTCCTAAACCTCGCCCATTTACCCTCGACATCAGGAGGAGTCGGGGACGATGCCAATCCCAGCCGCAAGCGATGATGAAATTCTCGCTTGCAACTTTCATCAGATAACTGAGACCAGGCCACTTTAGGTTGGAATGGGGTCCTGGGTGTACACCCACCACCGGAGTGGAAGAATGGCAGGCGCATCTTACAGATGACTAGTCGATGGTCAGAGGGCAGATCAGCTCCACGGTAGGTCCTGGTGTCAAGGACATGGGCTCGCATTCGCTGGTCCGTCACTATGTAGTCCAGCAGATGTTCTTGCTTGGACCCGGCATGCATCCATGATGTTGTGTGGATGCGCCGATGCCGGAACAGCGTGTTGGTAATTACAAGCCCATGGGCTGCACAAAAATCTAGCAGCCTCCTACCGTTGTTATTGAGCTGATCTGGCCCATGCCCTCCAATCACTCCAGACCAGGTGCCAGTATCATGACCAACTCGGGCATTGAAGTCACCCAGCATGATGACTCTATCCCGAGGGGCCACTTTAGCCAGCACCTGTGACAGGAGGTCATAGAAGGCATCTGACTCATCGGCTTTGCCTGCATCCCTCCACGGATGTTCATCTTCGGTGGGGGCATAAGTAACCACGACCACCATTCCTCGCCTCCGGTTGATGGGAAGGCGAGCCCAAAGTAGCCTGGGGCTTACAGCTTCCCACACCTCACCGCCACGCTCCCACGCCCCCTTCATTCTTTTGTTCAAAAGAAGACCCACACCCTGTTGTTTGGCAGTCTGCTGCCCCGAGTAGAGGACTGTCCACCCCTCATGGTGGCAGGAGCCAGAGCCGGTCCACCGGACCTCCTGAATGCCGCATAGATCCAGGCGGGTACCGGTCCAGCTCCCGACAGAGGAGTGGCAGCCTCTCCTCTGCAGTGAGCGTTCGAACATTCCACGTGGCCACCCGTAGTGGCTTTTCGTTGTTTCTGGAGTAGCCCCGAGGGTAGGTATTCAATCTCCTGGCTCCGCCAATTGGGGTTTGGCCAGGAGACGTCATAGACGCCTGGCCCCCCGGGGCCTCCGGCACAAGCTTAGTTGTTACATATTTCACTTTAATTCGTGGTTTTGTGGTAATTAATTGAAGGTGGAGGGGTTACCAGCCCCTCGCACCCGTCCAGAGCCCCCGTTTAGCCCCTGTGGTGGACACATATGCCATGAGGGGAGGAGCCAATCAAAATTGGAACTCCCCCCACAGCACTGTCCACGACAGAGTTGCCCGTCCGGCACCGCGAGGAGGTAGGGGGTTGTTTTGCCGGACCACAGTCACACACACAGTCACACACACACAGACAGTCACACACACACAGTCACACACACACACAGTCACACACACACACAGTCACACACAACAACAACAACCGCCATTCGCCACTAAGTGGCGGTGACGTCACCACGACGCTTGTGCCAGGCTATGTGCACCGTGAGGCCACGTGAAGTGTCGAACGCCCGCTGGCAGGAGGTCACTGGGCAGACCCAGGTGCCACGGGTCGACTGACTGAGATGACTGGCTGATGCACCACCTGTGCCCCCTACTGTGCCAACCTGCTGTGCTTTAGCCACCCGGCGCTCCGCTCGTTGTTGTGAGCGTCGCTCCTCCGCCCTCCGTTGTTGTTGGAGGGCGACTGCCTCCAACTGCCCAGTAGCATCCTTCACGAGCCTCCTCCACAGAGGCCGATCTTGACACGCTGGTACCAGTCATCGGCAAGTCCACTCAGCTCCACGTCCTCCTGTACCACATCACTCCATCTCTTCTCTAGCCCGTGCCGCGCCCGCTTAGCCCCCTCAATACGGCCAAACAAAAGCTGTTTCGGCATGCGGTGGCTGGGCATGCGGGCTACATGACCCAGCCATCGCAGCCTTGCCTGCCGGAGGAGCTCACCGATGGAACCCTGCCCAGATCTTTCAAGGATTTGTGAGCTCCTCACACAATCCAGTCTGGTTAAACCCAGGATGGATCGTAGGCAGGCCAGCCAAAATGTTTCTAACCGGCGAAGATGTTCCATTAGGGGGGTCCACGTTTCGCAAGCGTAGAGAAGGGAGGGAATGACCGTGGCCGAGAAGCCGAAGCTTAGTGCGGAGCGATAGACCAGGTAGCTTCCACACAGCGTTACGCAACTGATGAAAAGATATTGCCGCTCGACTGATTCGGAGTGAGACCTCTGCTGTTAAACTGGAGCCGGTCACACACACAAACAGAGACACACACAGATACACAGTCACACACACATACACACACAGACACCGTCACACAGAAACACAGAGACACGCAAAGACAAAGATCCCCCGTGCAGCCTCAACAGACTGTAAGGGCAAGTGCTGTTATCGAGCAGCACCAATGAAGGCCGGCACGGCACACGAGTGGGTGGCTGGCCAGCACCACGCCCGGCCGCCTTTGCCTCCCCAGCGGCGATGGGTTTTTTTACGCGCAAGCACGCACGAGGGCACACGGGCACATGGGCACGAGCACCTGTGACTTCTTGAAGGACGTGCGGGGTCTCCGGCTGCGGTACCAGCTCTCCTTCTCTCCCGGGGGGGGCCCCCACGGCCCCCCCGGCCCCCTCGGCCCCCCCACTCTGGACGGGGCCACCTCCGACCGGCGGCCGCGCGCGCGTTCAGTGTCTGGCGCCTCGTGGCGGTCTGGGCGGTAACATGCGCGGTGGTTAGGCGAGCGCCTAACAACATGTAACATGTAACATGTGTGTTGAACTTCTGTCTTGTAACATGTGTTGATATTCTTCATGTGTGTGTGTTGACATTCTTCATGTGTGCGTGTTGAACTTCTGTCATGTGTGTGTGTTGAACTTCTGTCATGTAACATGTGTTGACATTCTTCATGTGTGCGTGTTGAACTTCTATCATGTGTGTGCGTTGAATTTCTTTAATGTGTGTGTTGAACTTCTATCATGTGTGTGTGTTGAACTTATTTCACGGATGTATGCGGGTGTGGGTGGGTGAGTTGGTTTCGCGCGCAGGGTGAGTTTCACGTTGAGTTTGGGTGTGTTGTATGTAATGTATGCTGAACACATATTTAATATATGTAGATGTGTGTTTAACTTCTTTCGCGAACCCAACGTAGCCAACCCGTGCTAATCGGAAGTGTCGGGGTAAGGACAAAAAAACAGTTATAGAGAAATTAGTTCGTCACACTCGATGATTTAAAAGTGCACAGCTCCCAGTCGCTTCCTAGTGTCGGAAGGAAGAGCGTTCCAGACGGCCGCAGAATCCCGTCGGAAAGCGCCACGCGATGCGGTGACCGCCGTCTGTGTTCGATGGCCCAGCCAAGAGGCCCCTGCTGTGATGATGACCACCCGAGTTCACATCACAACTCACTCACACGCACTCACCCATTCACCCACTCAATCACCCACCAACTCACTCCCATACACACTCAATCACCCACTCACCCATTCACCAACTCAATCACCCACCAACTCACTCCCATACACACTCAATCACCCACTCACCCATTCACCAACTCAATCACCCACCAACTCACTCCCATACACACTCATTCACCCACTCAAGCATTCACCCACTCAGCCACCAACTCACCGAACCCACACACTAGCTCATTCACCCACTCACCCACCAACTCACTCACCCACCCACACATCCACTCACCCATTCACACACTAACTCACCCACCAACTCGCTCCCCCGCACACTAGCTCATTCACCCACTCACCCACCAACTCACTCACCCACCCACACATCCACTCACCCAGTAACACACTCACTCACCCACCAACTCGCTCCCCGGCACACACTTGCTCATTAACCCTCTCACCCACCACCTTACTCCCTCACCCACCCACCCATCCACACATTCACTCACCCATTCATCCACTCACCCACCAACTCACTCACCCACCCACACATTCACTCACCCAGTAATACACCCACCAACTCACTCCCCCGCACACTAGCTCATTAACCCACTCACCCACCAACTCACTCACCCAACCACACATCCACACATCCACTCACCCATTCACCCACTCACCCACCAACTCACTCACCCACCCACACATCAACTCACCCATTAATGAGCTAGTGTGTGCGGGAGTGAGTTGGTGGGTAATGGGTGAGTGGATGTGTGGGTGGGTGAGGGAGTAAGGTGGTGGGTGAGTGGGTGAATGGGTGAGTGGATGTGTGGATGTGTGGGTGGGTGAGTGAGTTGGTGGGTGGGTGAGGGAGTGAGTTGGTGGGTGAGTGAATGTGTGGGTGAGTGAGTTGGTGGGTGGGTGAGTGTGTTACTGGGTGAGTGAATGTGTGGGTGGGTGAGGGAGTAAGGTGGTGGGTGAGAGGGTTAATGAGCTAGTGTGTGCGGGAGTGAGTTGGTGGGTGAGTGAGTGTGTTACTGGGTGAGTGAATATGTGGGTGGGTGAGTGAGTTGGTGGGTGAGTGGGTGAATGGGTGAGTGGATGTGTGGATGTGTGGGTGGGTGAGTTGGTGGGTGGGTGAGGGAGTGAGTTGGTGGGTGAGTGAATGTGTGGGTGAGTGAGTTGGTGGGTGGGTGAGTGTGTTACTGGGTGAGTGAATGTGTGGGTGGGTGAGGGAGTAAGGTGGTGGGTGAGAGGGTTAATGAGCTAGTGTGTGCGGGAGTGAGTTGGTGGGTGAGTGAGCGTGTTACTGGGTGAGTGAATATGTGGGTGGGTGAGTGAGTTGGTGGGTGAGTGGGTGAATGGGTGAGTGGATGTGTGGATGTGTGGGTGGGTGAGTTACGCCCTCAGCCACCCACCACACTGCAGGTCACAAGGCTTCACCTTCTGCTGCTTCCCGTGCACCACTCCACTTTGGAATTCCCTTCCCATTGTCTCTTTCCCTCGTTCTTATACCAAACAATTGTTGTTGTTGTTGTTTGTTGTTGTGACTTTCTACTGGATATCCGTGAATATAACTTCATTGGTCATCGGATTGCTCCTGAGATAACTAAAGATTCTGATTCTGAACCTTGCCCAATTCAGGAAAACGTGTTACACTTTTAGACAGTGCTGACTGTTGCTGACCGCTTGACGTTATGTGCCATTGAGAATTGCGCTTCGCAAATGGGCAAAACTAAAAAATATAAAACACAAACTCGTGAATTGAATTCCTGGACAAACATTTCAACGTGGCAGGACCTTACCGAAGACGAGTCTTGGGAATCGGCGAACTTTTCCCGAGTAAATAGAGGACATGAGAGTATGTGTGATGAGTGGATGAGTGAGTGAGTGACTTGGTGAGTGGGTGGACGAGTGGGTGGGTGGGTGGTTGGGTGGGTGAGTGGGTGAGTGAATGTGTGGGTGAGTGAGTGAGTGGGTGCGTGCGTGCGTGGATGAGTGAGTGGTTGGGTGGGTGAATAAGGTGGTCGAGTGAGTGGGTGGGTGGGTGGCTGGATGGGTGCGTGGGTGGATGGGTGCGTGGGTGGGTGGGTGAGTGGGTGGTTGGTTGGGTGAATTAGTGGGTCGAGTGAGTTGGTGGGTTGCTAGAATGTTTTTGCATCTTACACACAAAGAGCCCGTGGACATAGCGACATGTAATCCCGTTAATGTGAACTCGCAAACTAATTGGCCCTCATCTCATCCCACCAACGTGGAGGCCCCGGGCAACGTTTTGCGAGGAGCAGCATCAACAATAAACACGGGGGCAGTAATTCGGCACTCCACCCACCTCTCTAAATCTCTCCCGGCTCCATCTCCACGCGGGAGGTGGTCACAGAGGACGTAAAATGTCAGCAAAATTCAAAAGCGCGGTTTAAAAAAAAAGCTAATTCGTAGGCGCTGTCAGGGACAGGAAAGACGGCAGGGCGACAGGGCGCGATGGAGCATAACATACCCGTAGAAATCGAGATATTCCGCACTGCGTGATTAGCGCGGTTGGCTACGCACGCTGCGAAATAAGTTCCAAAACAAGTACGCGTGGCGAATGACTAATGAGCTCGAATCTTTCCGAATGAAGTGACGGAACTAGAAAATGCAATTAACGACACGGGATGTATGCCAGGAGATCTGGGGGGGGGGGGGTGGGGAGGGGGGAATCCGTAGCCATCGCTCTTCCAGAAACACCTGGGGCAACGGCAGAACGTGAATCGCATCGAACATTTGAGTCTCAAATGTGTCACCTGACTAAGACGACGCTGCGTCAGAGAGTGTTCGTGGGCAGAGGATTGAATAAGCGAAATCGACACGTGGCAAAGGAAGCGTGGCATCTGTGAGCGGAAAGGAAGCAGACCGTGATGCCCCTTCTACGAGCAGAATGTTGAGTGAACGGGCGAGCCAAAGCTCAGAGAGATATTTAATTGACTTTTGTTGATTGCACCAAAGCTGTCTATAATGTGAGGGGTGAAGAATGAATGATAGTGCCGGGGTGAAGGAAGACGGCTCTACTGGAAACTCATGATTATCAGCATCATCATCAGGAGCATCATCATCATCAGCAGCATCATTCTAAGCATCATCAGCAGCATCATCATTCTCAGAATGATTCTCATCGTCGGCAGCAGCAGCATCATAATTATCAGCATATGCAGCATCAGTATTATCATTCTCAGCATCATCATCAGCAGCAGCATCATGATTCTCAGCATAAGCAGCAGCATCATAATTCTCAGCATCACCATCAGCAGCAGCATCATGATTCTCAGCATAAGCAGCAGCATCATAATTCTCAGCATCACCATCAGCAGCAGCATCATGATTCTCAGCATAAGCAGCAGCATCATAATTCTCAGCATCACCATCAGCAGCAGCATCATGATTCTCAGCATAAGCAGCAGCATCATAATTCTCAGCATCACCATCAGCAGCAGCATCATGATTCTCAGCATAAGCAGCATCATAATTCTTAGCATCACCATCAGCAGCAGCATCACCATTAACAGCAGCAGGTGGAACACCGAACCAGTGCCAGAGCGCTCATCCCACTGTTCCATCTTCACGACGGACGTCCTCTCGGGGGGTTCCCTCCCTTGGCTCCCAGAGACGTCGTCCTGTCCTAGCCCACTGCATCATCACCTCCTCATCCACTGCATCATCACCTCTCATCCACTTCATTATCACCTCCTCCTCCACTTCATCATCACCTCCTCCTCCACTTCATCATCACCTTCTCCACTTCATCATCTCCTCCAATTCATCAACACCTCCTCCACTTCCACATCACCTCCTCCACTTCTACATCACCTCCTCCACTTCATCATCACCTCCTCCACTGCCACATCACCTCCTCCACTTCATCATCACCTCCTCCACTTCATCATCACCTCCTCCACTGCCACATCACCTCCTCCACTTCATCATCACCTCCTCCACATCATCATCACCTCCTCCACTTCATCATCACCTCCTCCACTTCATCACCTCCTCCACTGCCACATCACCTCCTCCACTTCTACATCACCTCCTCCACTTCATCATCACCTCCTCCACTTCATCATCACCTCCACTTCATCAACGCCGCCTCCTCCACATCATCATCACCTCCTCCACTTCATCATCACCTCCTCCACTTCATCATCACCTCCTCCACATCATCATCACCTCTACTTCATCAACGCCGCCTCCTCCACATCATCATCACCTCCTCCACTTCATCATCACCTCCTCCACTTCATCATCACCTCCTCCACATCATCATCACCTCCACTTCATCAACGCCGCCTCCTCCACATCATCATCACCTCCTCCACATCATCATCACCTCCACTTCATCAACGCCGCCTCCTCCACATCATCATCACCTCCTCCACATCATCATCACCTCCTCCACATCATCATCACCTCCTCCACTTTATCTCTTACTCCTCTCAGCGTCCCTCACCTGCATCTCTCCGGGATGAAGCAGCAGCAGCAGCAGGAGGAGGTGGAGGAGGAAGAGGAGGAGGAGGTGGACGAGGTGATGGGGGCCGCTCTCCTCCCCCCCCGCCCTGCGGTGTCCCCGTGCTCACAATTGAGGGGGGTCGCCCCCCCCTCCTCCTCCTCTCCCCCTCCTCCACCTCCTCCACCTCGTCTGTGTCCACCAGACCCAGGATGCTGGCAATGGAGAATGAACTTCTGGAGCGCCGTGTGGGTGCTGAGTCGCGATGACGGCGGTGGTGGTGGTGGTGCCGGTGGTGGTGGTGGTGGTGGTGGTCGTGCTCTTGCTGCGCTTCTCTATTGAGGGGGGCCACAGCCCCCCACTCGGCAGGGGAGCTTCTCGCACGACTCGCAACGGGGCAGCCTCCACCACTTCCCACGCGAGCCCCTCTGCTCGAGTCGCTCGCCATCTCGCGCAAATTAATTCACGAATTCGTTAATTAATCGGCGGTTTAATTTTGTTGTCGTTGTTGTTGTTGTCAAATCATCAACGATGTGAGGCGGGGGGGGGAGTTAAAGCAGTCACACGCCGTTGGCAGGACCGTCTTGAGACCACGTGAGTTGAGCACCAGCTCACCTAGAGACTCGTAACCCTAGCGCTACTGGTGGTGATGATGGTGATGATGGTGATGGTGGTGGTGATGGTGGTGGTGATGGTAGTAGCTGCCGGCAGGACCGTCTTGAGACCACGTGAGTTGAGCACCAGCTCACCTAGAGACTCGTAACCCTAGCGCTACTGGTGGTGATGATGGTGGTGATGATGGTGATGGTGGTGATGGTGGTGATGGTAGTAGCTGCCTGCAGGACCGTCTTGAGACCACGTGAGTTGAGCACCAGCTCACCTAGAGACTCGTAGCCCTAGCGCTACTGGTGGTGATGGTGGTGATGGTGGTGATGGTGATTGTGGTGATGGTGGTGATGGTAGTAGCTGCCGGCAGGACCGTCTTGAGACCACGTGAGTTGAGCACCAGCTCACCTAGAGACTCGTAGCCCTAGCGCTACTGGTGGTGATGGTGGTGATGGTGGTGATGGTGATTGTGGTGATGGTGGTGATGGTAGTAGCTGCCTGCAGGACCGTCTTGAGACCACGTGAGTTGAGCACCAGCTCACCTAGAGACTCTTAGCCCTAGCGCTACTGGTGGTGATGATGGTGATGGTAGTAGCTGCCGGCAGGACCGTCTTAAGACCACGTGATTTGAACAGCAGCTCACCTAGAGACTCGTAGCCCTAGCCCTACTGGTGGTGATGATGATGTGATGATTGCACTTTCGATGCTTTTAAGTGTTAACTAAGCCGCTGAACGATATCCCTTCGTTTTAAATGCGCACTCGCTGAGCAAACAAAAAAGAAGCAACGGGCCGAAACAATCGAGCGGCCAGCAACAAACAGAACCGTCGACGTTGTCAAGACCCGCTGCTGTTGTTCACGTGCTACGAACGCAGTGGCCGCAGAATGTGAATGTGCACGTGTGTGTGTGTGTATCTGTGTATCTGTGTTTGTGTGTATCTGTGTCTGTATCTGTGTCTGTGTGTGTGTATCTGTGTATCTGTGTTTGTGTGTATCTGTGTCTGTATCTGTGTCTGTGTATCTGTGTTTGTGTGTATCTGTGTCTGTATCTGTGTCTGTGTGTGTGTCTGTGTATCTGTGTATCTGTGTTTGTGTGTATCTGTGTCTGTGTGTGTGTCTGTGTGTGTGTCTGTGTATCTGTGTATCTGTGTTTGTGTGTATCTGTGTCTGTATCTGTGTCTGTATGTGTGTCTGTGTATCTGTCTCTGTGTGTGTGTGTGTCTGTGTGTGTATCTGTGTATCTGTGTTTGTGTGTATCTGTGTCTGTCTGTGTATCTGTGTATCTGTGTTTGTGTGTATCTGTGTCTGTCTGTGTATCTGTGTATCTGTGTTTGTGTGTATCTGTGTCTGTATCTGTGTCTGTTTGTGTATCTGTGTATCTGTGTTTGTGTGTATCTGTGTCTGTATCTGTGTCTGTGTGTGTGTCTGTGTATCTGTGTGTATGTGTATCTGTGTATGTGTCTGTGTATCTGTGTGTGTATCTGTGTGTTGGTATCTGTGTGTGTGTGTATCTTTGTGTGTATCTGTGTGTGTGTATATCTGTGTGGGTATCTCTGTCTGTGTGTATCTGTGTGTGTATCTGTGTGTGTGTGTCTGTGTGAGGTATCTCCGTCTGTGTGTGTCTGTGTGTGTATCTGTGTGTCTGTGTGTGTCTGTGTGTGTCTGTGTGGGTATCTCTGTCTGTGTGTATCTGTGTGTGTCTGTGCGTATCTGTGTGTGTCTGTGTGTGTATCTGTGTGTGTCTGTGTATCTGTGTGGGTATCTCTCTATTTGCGTGTGTGTCTGTGTGAGGTATCTCTGTCTATGTGTGTCTGTGTGTCTGTGTGTGTATCTCTCTGTGTGTAGCTGTGTCTCTGTGTGCCTGTGTGTATCTATGTGTATCTCTGTGTATCTATCTGTGTATCTATCCTAGTGTAGCTATGTCTATGTGTGTCTGTGTGTCTGTGTGTGTGAGTCTGTGTGTGTGTCTGTGTATCTATCTGTGTGTGTGTCTGTGTGAGTCTGTGTGTGTCTGTGTGTGTCTGTGTGTGTGAGTCTGTGTGTGTCTGTGTATCTATCTGTGTGTGTGTCTGTGTGAGTCTGTGTGTGCCTGTGTATGTGAGTCTGTGTGTGTCTGTGTATCTATCTGTGTGTGTCTGTGTGAGTCTGTGTGTGTCTGCGTGTGTCTGTGTGTGTGAGTCTGTGTGTGTCTGTGTATCTATCTGTGTGTGTGTCTTTGTGAGTCTGTGTGTGTCTGTGTGTGTGAGTCTGTGTGTGTCTGTGTATCTATCTGTGTGTGTGTCTGTGTGAGTCTGTGTGTGTCTGTGTGTGTCTATGTGTGTGAGTCTGTGTGTGTCTGTGTATCTATCTGTGTGTGTGTCTGTGTGTGTGAGTCTGCTGCACGTGCTGCACGGAGCTGAGGTGCACGCGCCGTGGTGACGCGTCACGGTGCGACCTCACGTGAGACCTCCTCTCTATTTATGCTCACACATGCGTGTGTGTATGTATGTGTGTATGTATGTGTGTATGTGTGTGTGTATGTGTGTGTATGTGTGTGTGTATATATGTGTGTGCATGTGTGCGTGTGTGTGTATATGTTAGTGGGGAGCGGTAGCGTAGCGGTTAGCGCTACGAACCTGGCGACCCAGGTTCGATTCCCGCTCACGGCCAACACGATTATTTGAACCGGTCCTGGGCCTCCCCTAGGTCGACTAAGCCTCAAATGAATAGCTGGTGCGGTGTGTAAACATCACCACTGGGGAGACAAAAGCAGCTGGGCGTGGTGCTGGCCACCCACCCACTCGTGTGCCATTCTGGCCTTCATAGGTGCTCGCTAACAGCACTTGCCCCAACAGTCTGTTACAGGCTATACGGGGGGTCTTTGTCTTTGTTCCTGTATGTTTGAGGACAGCGGTAATGTAATGGTTAGCGCGCTCCGCTACAAACCCAGCGACCCGAGCTCACGGCCAACACCGGTGGCGAATATCTGAACCGATCCCGAGCCGCCCCTAGGTCGGCTCAGCCTCAAATGAGTATCCGGTGCAATGCTGTAAACAACAGCACTGGAGAGACAAAGAGGGCCGAGCGTGGTGCTGGCCACCCACCCCCTCGTGCTCCCTGGCAGCCTTCATAGGTGCTCGTTAACAGCACTTGCCCCAACAGCCTGTTTGAGCTAGCCGGCGGATCTTTGTCTTTGTATAGAGACAATGGCAGATTTAGGGGGGTTTTAGCAGACAATGGAGGGGTTAGGACGAGGTGTGCGGGCAAACCTTTAGGGGCAGGTTGTGTGCGCGTCTGTGTGCGTGTCTGTGTGTGTGTCTGTGTGTGTGTCTGTGTGCGTGTGTCTGTGTGCGTGTCTGTGTGCGTGTCTGTGTGTGTGTGTCTGTGTGTGTGTGTCTGTGTATGTGTGTGTCTGTGTGTGTGTCTGTGTGTGTGTCTGTGTGTGCATGTCTGTGTGTGCGTGTCTGTGTGTCTGTCTGTGTGTGTGTCTGTGTGTGTGTCTGTGTGTGTGTGTCTGTGTGTGTGTCTGTGTGTCTGTGTGTGTCTGTGTGTGTGTGTCTGTGTGTGTGTCTGTGTGTTTGTGTGTGTGTCTGTGTGTCTGTGTGTGTCTGTGTGTGTGTCTGTGTGTGTGTGTCTGTGTGTGTGTGTCTGTGTGTGTGTCTGTGTGTGTGTCTGTGTGTGTGTGTCTGTGTGTGTGTCTGTGTGTGTGTTTGTGTGTCTGTGTGTGTCTGTGTGTGTGTCTGTGTGTGTGTCTGTGTGTGCGTGTCTGTGTGTGTCTCTGTGTGTGTGTTTGTGTGTGTGTCTGTGTGTCTGTGTGTGCGTCTCTGTGTGTCTGTGTGTGCGTGTCTGTGTGTGTCTCTGTGTGTGTGTTTGTGTGTGTGTCTGTGTGTCTGTGTGTGCGTCTCTGTGTGTCTGTGTGTGCGTGTCTGTGTGTGTCTCTGTGTGTCTGTGTGTGCGTCTCTGTGTGTCTGTGTGTGCGTGTCTGTGTGTGTCTGTCTGTGCGTGTCTGTGTGTGTGTCTGTGTGTGTGTCTCTGTGTGTGCGTGTCTGTGTGTGTGTCTGTGTGTGCGTGTCTGTGTGTGTGTCTGTGTGTGCGTGTCTGTGTGTGTCTGTGTGTGCGTGTCTGTGTGTAGCGGTTGGCGTGCTGCGCTACGAACCTGGAGACCCGGGTTCAATTCCCGCTCACGACCAACACCAGTGACGATTATCTGAAACGGCCCTGGGCCTCCCCTAGGTCGACCCAGCCTCAAATGAGTACCTGGTGCGGTGTGTAGTAAACATCGCCACGAGGGAGACAAAGGCGGCCGGGCGTGGTGTTGGCCACCCACCGCCTCGTGTGCCGTTTTCGCCAACAGCACTTGCCCCAACAGTCTGTTAAGGCTATACGGGGGATCTTTGCCTCTTTGTGTGTTCTGCTTAGGCGATCCCTTGTGGACACAAAATAATTCGCCTCCCTTCCATATCTGTCCCTCCATATGATAAAATTTAAAAGTATTGTGTTTGCACATCTCATCAACCACACTGCCTTATGGGGGCGTGGGGGCGTAATATAAGCAGGGTTGGTTCAACACAAACAAAAATCAACAACTCTGGACCGGTTTCGACATTCGGTGTCTCATCAGCAGTAGTCAAGGTTCCATGAGGAACTTTTGGCGATCTCCCAAGTTCCCACTCTTCAGGGTGTGGCTTGAAGAGTGGGTAGGTGGCCACTGTTGGTACCTGTGCAATAGCCCCCGTGCCCGTGACACGTGTGGATCTTTGTCTTTGTGGGTGCTGGCTGGGTGTGGTGGTGGTGATGGTGGCTGGGTGTGATGGTGGTGGTGAATGTGGCTGGGTGTGATGGTGGTGGTGAATGTGGCTGGGTGTGATGGTGGTGGTGGTGAATGTGGCTGGGTGTGATGGTGGTGGTGGTGGTGGCTGGGTGTGATGGTGGTGGTGGTGAATGTGGCTGGGTGTGATGGTGGTGGTGAATATGGCTGGGTGTGATGGTGGTGGTGGCTGGGTGTGATGGTGGTGGTGGTGGTGAATGTGGCTGAGTGTGATGGTGGTGGTGGTGATGGTGGCTGGGTGTGATGGTGGTGGTGGTGAATGTGGCTGGGTGTGATGGTGGTGGTGATGGTGGCTGGGTGTGATGGTGGTGGTGAATGTGGCTGGGTGTGGTGGTGGTGGTGGTGAAAGTGGCTGGGTGTGATGGTGGTGGTGGTGAATGTGGCTGGGTGTGATGGTGGCGGGGAAGGACAACAAACTAAGCACCAAAAGCAATTCTAAAGAAATTAGTTTTCAATCTGGATGATTTAAAAGTGCATCGCTCCAGCGGCTTGCTAATATCGGAAGCAAGAGCGTTCCAGACGGCCGCAGAAGCGCATCTGAAAGCGCCACGCGATGCGGTGACCGCCGTCTGTGTTCGATGGCCAGCAGCCAAAAGCCGCCGCTGCTGCTGCGAGGATGACGAGCGGAGTTGGTAGCGTGGTTCATTTGTGGCAAGCGCTTTGTGTGTGCAATGGGGGTATGATGGTGGTGGCACCACCACCAGCACCACGACCACCACCAGCACCACCACCAGCACCATCACCAGCACCGCCAGCACCACGATCACCACGACCAGCACCACCATCAGCACCACCACCACGAGCACCACCACCAGCACCACCACCACCACAGCACCACCACAAGCACCACCAGCACCACCACTAACAGCACCTCCAGCACCACCAGCACCACCATCAGCACCACTACCAGCACCACCATCAGCACCACCACCAGCACCACCATCAGCACCATCAGCACCACCACCATCAGCACCACCACCATCAGCACCAGCACCACCAGCACCACTACCAGCACCACCACCAGCACCACCACCATCAGCACCACCACCAGCACCACCATCAGCACCACCAGCACCACCACCATCAGCACCACCACCATCAGCACCAGCACCACCACCATCAGCACCACCACCAGCACCACCAGCAC